ATCTACAGCAATTTTATCTAAAAGAACCTCTTACACCAGTATATATAATTATAATTGGTCTTCTACAGATAAAGGGATATTCAAAGCTTGCTTTTACATCTCAATTGGCTCGAAATTTATTAATGATTTTGCTTAGAATAATTTTTATACTGTGCACAAATTGCTTACTCACTTATGAACCAAATTATGCCACATCTCCTCTGAAACTGGAAAACTCTTTCTCTCTGGACGAGAGAAGCTGAGATTGTCATGACTTGGGCATTATCCAAAGTGATCGAAAGAATAGCGCGCACGCGGTCTACAAACTCGGAGACACGCGCGGGAAAATGTTAACACTAACGTGCATTGCATCAGTCAAAAATATATTTTCGACACGGAAAATGTTCTTGTGGCTGGTTTCGCGGGTTTTGTTCCACATAAGCAAACGAGCCCTAAGCGCTCACATCCTTGTTCACCAGCCAAGAAGCTGATAATCAGTGGATAATGCCTAATATTGTATTCGCTACAGACCTTCTCTCGAAGACGGTAGCGGTTATCATCGTATTATAGGGTCTTCGAGCAGTTATACCATACACCAATACTCCCACAATCACCATATTATTCCGATGATAGCGCGGTGGCTGTTGCATCAAATGCGGAGTACAACGCAAGTGTCATTTAAGGTACTGGAGGGTTGAGGTACGATAGATATTTTCTGCCAAACCAGCCAACAGAGGCGATGAGCACTTGCTGTGCTAAAGAAGAAAGGTGCGATGTCATAGCTGCTGTGCAGCATCGTGGTACTCGCAGAATATTATCTGTAACGGGTCTTAATGCGGGATTCTACGTGCTTCCTTTTCTAACTTGAAAATAAGTTAGTTACGCTTCTATCAATGGTCATCGGGCAAACGTTTCGGGCGTCAAATCCCAGTCGCCTATTAAGACAGAAGGCACTAAGCGGAGGTCGTGGTCAGTGGGGTCAGGCCTTGAAAACATCGAACCTGTTTAAGATAGACAGGGCTTAAAACCAGATGTTTTGGCTATTGGTGCAGCTTGTGATGAAGCCATTTACGGAAGGCTGGAGATCATGTTGAGTCACCAATTGAAGCTTAAGGACTTTAACAGCATGGAGTGTTGTCACATCCTGGACCTGAATTCGAAATCTAAGTATGACGTCTGGGTCGGCTGAAAATTAAAATTTAGATATCGCCCTATTTCTTTCTTGTAAAGCTTTGAAGAGTCGCGCGGTCACCTCTGCTAAGGTGAAACGCTTTTGACGCGGGCAAAAGGGAGCGAACACTCTGACGCATGACTTAAGATTGTGTAAGCAATCATGTTGCTGAGTTCAGCTTTGAGCAATGATAACAAGAATGCACTTATCCCTATCAGACAACAAGAAAAATGATCGTGTTTTGCGGTCTTTGAAGTGTCTCCTGGCAAAGTCAATGGGGTTTTAACACAGCACATGCGGACTGGTATCTTCGCTAACTAGCTAGTGGTTAGGAAGATCGGCTGGGTGTTGCGAACTCCCTCGCTGAATATAAAAGCGACTGTAAGTCACAAGTATAAGAGTTGGGTAATGCATTTATAAAAAATAACCCATTTTTATCACTATGTACTCCTACTACTGTCCAGCAATATCATGCGTCATGCCCACCGCGTGGGATAACAAGACTTCACGAGTTCGTAACGACAAAATACCATATGATCGTCAGTTAGATTTTGGTGTTGCCCTTGAAATTTAAAGCCCCTCTGCAATACCTTCGACAGAAGCTTTGACTGTGCTTGAAGAATTATCTCTAGCGGATATGTGCAAGACGGTGGTGAAACCGAAAATGGCACGGCAGATATTGGAGGTTAAGCTGCGCTCTTCTTCCATCATGCATAATACTATCGTTGAGGTAACACTCCGAGCAATCAGTACGACGAGTGGATCAGCTATCTTTAAAATGCCTTCAAAAAATACTTATCTTTTGTTGAAAATTTCAGTGCGTGACGACAAGAATTTACCATGCATATTACTCCTAGATCGGGGATGCGTTAGAAAAATCGACTCTGTCCCCGAGACAAAGTATCGCCTCACTTGTCATCGGCTTCTTTCAAGGAACAATGTGACGCCATCAGCACTTTCTTCAGTGCGATGTCCAAAGCGGGTTTGCTGAGAAAAAGTAAATTATCTAACAGCAAGTAGATCATTGCGCAGCTCAAAGTAAAGGAAATGCAGTCAAAATTCCGACGCAAACGCCGAATGCTAGAAAGAATGTGCTGTAAAATAGAGTGGTCAATTGTAGCTAATTTGGTAAATATGAGATATAAACCACTCAAGAGAGACAGCGTCATACCTCTTTTCGGAGTGGGTACCCGAACGGCAAGCTATATGAGTGGCCAATCTTAAACAGGGACTGTTCAACGCAAAAGTGAGATGATCAATCGTCTGATGGTGTGGCTGTTTAAATAACATCGTGGTTATTGCTGCTAGGCACATAACTGTTTCGACAATATATTCAACTAAATCCGTTCAGACATTGGAAGTCAGATGCGGGCGATGATAGGGTGCATGCGCTTAAATGATCAATTTGCCAATATCGCCAAATGGGCATTTGGTGCCAACAAAATTGTCCTAAAGTGCTTCTTCATCATAAAATTAACCCTTCAGGCAATCCCGCTACAGTAAAGGTCATTGTAAATCGTCCAAGCCTCTGGATTAAAAGGACTTGCGTAAGTGTTAAACCTGGCCGACCACATACACAAGTATGATTTAAATATACCGACATAGCACGACCCCTCAAAAGTCGTTTTATTAAAATGTCAAGTAATGCTGGTGTGTGGTGAAATGGTTTAATGGATGTAATAAAAAGCCTCATGCGCTTCTTGAATCGGGCACTTTTGCAACAAGATTATGCACTTTTTCAAAAAGATGCCAAAGGGCGTATAAGTGTGATTGTTTTAGGGTCTGGTGAGATCAAAGCTGCAAAGTTTAACACTCTGCTCACGACGAGAGGATACTGCAGTAAATTATGTCCTCGTCAAATTTTGGCGTGCACTTGCTTGCTCATAAATATCACAAATAATAACCTCCGCGCCATGTCGCTAACAGAGAATGGCAAAATGGGATTTTTGTCTCTATTAAGCATACCCTGAATTTCTGCATCGGGTTGGGCACATAGGCTGGTAGCGTTGCAACGATTATTAACTATTACATATCACGATGTTGACGTCGGACATGGATGAGGCGAAACGTACAGCGTACAGGCTAGACGGAACATGTATTGTGGTGCTAAAGCATTGCAAAATAAGGCATTAATGAGCTCTCATACTGTTATAGTGAAGCGGTTGGCTGAACAATTGCATTATAATTCCCTGCTGCTAGATATCGTGAGATAGATTTGCCTTGTTTTTTGGAAATCAGTCATTTTATTATCACATGATACTGAGCACTATGTACGAAGTAATTCTCGTTTCAAACTCCATAATCTAGATTTGAAGTTTTCGGAACGTCATGCAGAAGATTACCGAATACTCAGTTCAAAAAAAAAATCTTATCAACTATATGTTATAACCTTTTGGGACCATTACGATAGTCGCAAGCGAGTACCGAAATTAGTAGGGGCTGTTACAAGAGTGTTCTACCGATATCTACTAATTCCTCATCGTTTATTTTTTATTTATTGAGCATGACAGGTATTACCACATCGGTACGATAGTTGCAAGCCAAGTACCAAAATAAGTTGTGACTTTTACGATAGTCTTCTACCAAAATTTACTGATACCACATCTGCTTAGTCTCTATCGAATTAGCATGGCAGGTATTGGCACATGAAAGTTATTACCAAAGTTATATTTGACCCCGATATTTGCACCAGTAATGGTTCCAATTTTACAGAACTCCAGTTATCATTACTCACAATGGACTTGATTGATGATTGCCCGGTGATTAGAACAGTCATATCCGTGAGCGTTACCGTAGTCTTCAGCAAGAATTTCACCGGAATTTACATGCCACCATGGAGAGCTAACGCCATGGCAAGGCAGCAATAGAACATGGAGCAACGCATAATAGCTATTACAAACCCTAGAATAAAATTGTTGCATGTAGTCAGTTGTTGTCTTCGATTGCCAGGAATCAGAACTGCGTTCTCTTCATAGACATTTTTATCGGTCTAGCTATGATGGATTTCTACTCCTACTCTTTGGGCACAAGTTGTGATTTGACACTTCTTCGCTCATCATACTCGTCGACAATAAACAGGTACGGTCTACACGCTGCATACCGAGATAGACAATGACGGAGAGCATTTAATGCATATCGAGATAGGTTTTTGATGGAGAATATTTTACATAATCCATACAAAGATTGTTGCGGTCAGTAAATACGAAAAATCTCGTATACCAAGATTGTGTACCAGGATTGCCTCATATCCTCATATACCAGGATTGATTCTGACGGTGGATACTACCGATACTTAATACTGGGGATCCCAGCCGTTGCTAGTGATGAATACTAACATTACAAAGGCGGCATCGATACGGTGTTCGATATACATTTAATAATACATAGTATCGATGGTGCTTGATTCCGATTGTTATACCGGTTACGTTATCGGGACCAAAAACTACTGAAATCAATATTTTTACTTCCACTTGTAACCTGACTGCGTGGGTGCTTCAAGCAATTGATCGTCGGAATGCTGGTTGCGCGGGACATTTCGCTTACGTTAACATATCTTGTCGATGTGGTATCTAGCATTACTTGCACGAACCACACATGCTTGCTCAATCACGCAAGGCTTGAATATAATCGACAGCGCTTCGGGAAGAGCTTCTCAAGTCATCTCAACCTAAGCGAGTAAGGCTGGTGGATTTGAAAGGCGATTTTGTCTCAATTCTCGGTTATTAGCGGTGTGCCAACTCTAAGAGTATCCCGCTGTTTATTCATGACAATTCTTATCAAACACAACTGACCCACTTGACTGGATTCTGATCGAAGACTGATTGTCTTTTCCTGATTTGGCGGACTGAGAGGGTACGCTTTTATGAGCAATAGTTAATAGTAGGACTGTTGTGGGGTGATAGACACGCAAATGGGCTAGTGGTTCATTGTCTACACATCGCTGACAAGTGCTAAAGACTTTGCGGCAGCTGTTCAAATTTCCTTCTCAGATCACGTTTTGCACTCAAGATCTTGGAGCGAGAGCATGACATACTGAAGATGCAATCAAGCCTCTTATTCATGTCAAATGCAAGAATACATCCACATTTCGGATCCAGCAAGAGCATACTTTATGTACACCAAGCGCCTAAATAGGACACTTGGTTTGACATCAACAAGCCGACGCGACATCACCATATGCTCAACGACCTTGACGTCTGTACTACGACTCATTGCGCGACCACCGAAGAATCTTGGACAACCACTTGGAGGTCCACATATAAAGTGAAAGGCTTTAGCATATCTAGTAGCTCAAAACCGGACTATTGCTTTGAAATCGAAGAAACTTATCCATCGGGGATCAATGAGACGTTACTTAGTTTCCAACAAAGTGTCCAGCAAAATGTTTGGCGTCCGAATGGCCCATAAAAGCGGTGTCGTGGTACGGATTCAATACGATACACAGACCACAAGAAATTTTATGCGTTATCTTGACCGCGTGACTCAATGTTTTCTCGCCACGACAGCAGACTGTACAATGAGAAGGTTCATGGGCTGCGATTATCAAATGTTCTCACCTACTGCGAAAAGTTTGTGATCTGTCTGATTGTGACATATGCAAACTGCATTCTGCATTCTGGCTCTCAGTCATAGCGTCGCGCACTCGGCGTTACAATCAGCATCATCAAGAATAATATATCTGGTTTTGCTACGAAGCAAAGCTGGGCCGACATATCAGTTTATTGATTCACCGAGATTGAAGGTAATTTGTTGCTAAAACAGTGTTGATCGAACCATCATTATATTATAGTGTAAAATTTACAGACTAGAGTAATTTAAGGATGGGGGTATCTCGTTGCAACACCGCGACCGGTCCGAGCAAGTGCTGTGAAGGATTTGACTTAAGATGCGATAATGCAATTTGTCACTGATCGGTCTTTGGGTGGTCAGCGGGGGACATTGCTAAACTGGTGCAAGTTTTGTGGTTATAACTTGATTAAACTTTCCAGTTATTGGGAATATTGATCCAAATTACCATCTACCGTCAAGCTATTTTACCGGAGGGGGAAATTCCAGAGTAGTAGTTTCGCTCTATCCTCACCAATAACGATGTCGCTGACAGAAGCAAGATTGGTCATCTTGCTCAAAACGTCGACAAAGATCACATTTGCAGCATTACTGGACGTGTCTGCTGGAAAAACACGTGTATCAAGAATTGCCGACACCGCCGCAGCTGACACACTGACCAAAGGTGCTGACGCATGTGGCGATGACTAAATCTGCTTACATATTTCAAGCGCACGCACGTGAGTACTTAAGCATTTGTACATCTATATGCCTATATGCACTTAACAGTACGACTTATCTCAACGAAATTATATTTCACCAGAAGAATCATATCGCATGCTGATCTCAAATTTGAGGTTCGCATCACGATTTTCAGTCAGATCCCATACACACACCGTATACTAACCGAATTGCTGTTGTAATACATAACCGAATAAGCGGTGTAAGCGCATCTACTTACCTGGATGAAGCAAAAGCAAAGGTTGAATATCTTATTTATCAAAGATCTCGATAGTGTAGCACAAGATGCAACAGAATGTTTGCTTAGCTTGCACAGGGAAGCTTTGACGTCCAGAATCCGCGTAACTTCACAAACAGAAAGCCTCTCTCATGACTAGTACTAACGCTTTCTTAAATGAAAAAGCTGCTTCTGTAGTATCCAAGCGAGCTGAAAGTGTGACTAGACATAAATATGTCTTACTTGAATGTCTAGGTGATTTAATTGTGCCGAAAGTTCTTCCCAACCGCAAACTACTACTGCAAGCTTCTCAAGCACCAATTGCGCTGAAAGGTCTTATTCTGGCCTAGTGAGTTAGTAAAATACGCCGTGTAGGCATTGTATCGGTGAGAAAGGCAATGCGTTCATCCATGAGAATGGACAAAGTGAATTAGCATGTCTCGACATGCCACGCGTGCTTTCTCTGAAGAGCATACTGACATGCCGCTCCCGTCTACGGCAGCCGCTCTGGGGATTCTACGCTTTCTGGGAATTACTTTACTTTTGCACGAGATGTGATAACTGTAACCGTACCCAAAGTGGAAATCTTACGTGGCTTGCATCTATGTCAAACTCATCAATCATCCTCGTAATAAAACCTGGCCTAGAAAGCCAAGCTAGCTCATCTGGATGCACACAATTTATAGCAATCATTAACTTGCTCGCTAGAAATCAAATTACGTCATGATAATAAAATTGAGTCACTCCATCTTCTGTAGCCACTCACCATACTACGGTATAGCTTTTAGACATGGGTCTGTAGCTCACCTGAACAGTAAAAGACTTTATATAAAATCGCTTCTTGAGTACTTCTTAACTCCGCAGGTAACCATTCTCAGAGGCATCACTTCCGGTTGTATCAGCAGCACCTAGGAAGATCAGTGCCAAAGAAGACTGTACGCATTGTACTATGGCCCGACAACAGTGTGAAGGAATATATAACTTTGGGTATTTAGGAGAATTATGTCGAGCTAATCATTTTGCGGCTTGACAGACCACTTTTAAACAGACAAAAACGTTATTTATGCTTTACTTAGTGGTATACAAAGCTCACAGGCGAGCGCTCGTCTTCACCTCCCATTTATGCTGTCACCACCTTGCTCATATCCATGAGGATGCAATTCTCAAAATTTAGACAAGGCCGAATGCTAGAGGCGGAGGTGAGAGTCACATCGACTCTTCAGCTGAGACGTCGTAACATCAAGGATGCCAAGCCAATTAAATGGAGCCGAAAGCTGTCAAGGGGGTTTGGGAGAATACTAGTCCTTCCAATTTACCAGATACTCGTGGAACACCCTAGCAAGCGCTCCGACCCACATCATTTTTTACGTGTAAGTAAAGTGAAATGCGTTTTACTAATCAAGCAAAGCCGGCGAGAGGCGGTTTATAGATGGCTGAATTCCATGGGTGTACAGCGTTCTGTCAAAGCATCGATCAGTGGATAGACCGCTGTGGATAGCGATGCTAGGGCCAAGTCCCTTGTACAAAAAAATGTCCAAATTTGAATGGAAATCGCAAATCTTGGTCTGGGTCGATTGCCATTGACAAGCCACGAAGACAGAAATATATTATATGTCCTGACTATATTCTTGCTGGTAATCGTGTCGGAGGTGATTCGTCATGCTCAGGCAGTTCACAATAGCCAGTGTCAGTGCAAGGTTCCTGGAAACATATATTGTGCAAAAATATACAAAATTCAATATGTGTATTTTGTATGTCTTGGTCACGAAAGCATATTTTAAGGGTATCACTCAATGAGAAGTTCTTAGAGTCGGCATTAGAAAGTTACAAAAAACATGCTTCGGCTGCTATTACTATTCTATCCTTTTCGTCACCAACAGCAGCGAGTACAGCGAGTCTAAAATGTTGTCAATCTCAATACAGTAGGAGTATAAAGGCACAATCGTCGTATCCGGTGTCAACTCTCGCTTTATCCAACTATGAGTCCGTGGAGTATGTCGTATGCTTTTCGGTTTTAGATTGTGACTAGTCATTGAAAACTTTTACCAGGCCGGATCATCGCGCCTGGAGAAAAATCTATCGGGTCTTCGTTCAACAATATGTTAAACCATATTCAAATTCTGTATACATTGTTAATCTATCTGGATCCCAGCAAGTTTGGTCAAGACTTATGGATGCTGCCTTATGTTTAAATCTTACGTAGCGTGCACAAGAACTCTCGATTTCACGATGGTGTTGTACATACTTTTCAGTGTGACTTTGTTGGTATGTTTGCTGTTTCTTCGTATCAGACGACGAATTCTTGTTTCTGCCGTGACGTCTCAGCGAGTACGTCTTCTAGTAGTCGAGAAGATTGAGCAGTTCCCGACCGCCTTTTTTAGATATCGATGCTCCTAAACGTTTTTAGCCGTCGCAGACGTGCTGAAGATATACCCTGAGCAATCGGGTTTTATCTTTGTACAATATATGTTTTACAATGGTTGGACACCTGATCATTACGTTGGTAACGTTTTCGTATTTTTATGCACAATGAGATAATTTTGATGGCAGTTATTGACGTGCCTGGGGGAATCAGGTTTTACAAATTACAAAATTCAAAACTGTATATTCTGAGCTTCTGAGATCACGTAAACTTTGGATCACGTGAGAGTATAGATTCGGCTTTTTCTCTAGACTACTCATTCCAGATTAGTCGTCTTAGGATATGCCAATCACATCTGGTGCGAGGAGGTTTTATCTACTCAGCAGGCTTCATCAGTACGACAAGCTGCAGAGTGAGGAATACGACCTTTCCGAGACCTTTTTTCTGGAATCAAAAATTGGCTTATATACGGGGAGAACAGAGGGAAAAGTCATTTGTAAATGATAGTACTGCCTTAACCTTTCGCACCAGGTTTGTTGGTTTAAACTAAATTTGAAGAAGGATTGACCATTAAGGCAGACCATCTATTAAAGAACAAGTTTCAATAAATGTCTTAATAAGGTGGTCGTTATTTTAAGGTTATTGCGATCATAGCCATCATCTGATTGTGATCTTCTTCGGACGTAATATGGTCTCCTTGCGCTCTTTTCGTCTTTCGTCTTTTCGTATGATTTGCTCATCATTACGTTCCTCGTCATGCCTTATTTTCTCGTCTTCCTGTCTGTGGTATTCCATTGTGCGCTCATCTTGTTGAAGCATATTTCCATTATTTTTAAAAGCGGGTCTTCATCGGCAGCCGCCTTCTCAAGCTTACGGATAAATAGGTGTGGTTTCATTGTCGGTCCAGCCCATCTGTGTTTGAAAGCAAAGTAGAGTATTGCAGTTGAGTCGTGCTGAAAGCTGCCACAGTCTCAGCAAACGGCTTCTTTTCAAGTCCAGGAAAATCCATAATCGCCGGAGGAATATCATCATCGCTATTATCGCTTGCTTCCCTAAAGAGACTGTCATTCTGGTCTTCTTCATATTTACCCACATCAGCATGATCAGTCGTCTAATACCGAATTTTCTTTGCCCTTCACATCTGGAGGCATAAGGGGGTCTCCCTTAAGCATCTGGGCATGATGAAGTGAACAAGACTACCGCTTGATGCTCATTACTGCTCGTTCACGATCACGATATCGTAGCTCGTGCTCACGAAGGACAGCATCATATTCCGTAGTACACACAGAGAGATTATTGTCGATCAAATAAAAAAGCGAGTCTACCTCTTGCTGTGTGAAGCCGCTTCTCGCGCTGGCTTTGCCAGACCACTCTAGCTCTACACGGCTGGGCACTTGCCTTGGGCGTAACAGGGGCATGAGGTCAAAGGGAAGGGCAAGCTACCTTTTACACCATTTATAGTTTTGGACATAAATCGCGGACAAATTCCTGTATTAATATACTTAAATCCTAATTTTCAGCGGATGCAATCCATTGGGTCAGATTTAAGAACTATGTAGGACTTGCATATAAGCGATTTGTGGTATATTTAAAGTTCTGTGTTACCTGATGCCCCTTTTGTCGAATATGCTGATATTCTACCTGTAATTAACGAAGTCAGTCGGCTGGCCGAGCATGCTGAAGCATGCAACGGATGTCTCACCCGCCGACACGCTTCTCAGGGGAGCATATGAGTTTTTATCTCTAATTCCGTGCTCTTTCGTGTTCCCCTGACAGAGTTCTTTAGTTGAACATCACATGAAAAGGGCTATTACACGCTTCGTAATAAGCGTGCCAGTGCTGTGACCCAGCCAATCTTTAAAAACGTGAAAGCGATTTAGACGCGCTTTCAGACGCTCAATGAAGTGACATCCAAATCAAATAACTTTTTGCTTCTAAAAGATGTCAGCAGTGCAGCATTCGTGGAGTCTGGATCAAACTCCGCAAGTAAATTATCGTCGATGCTAACGCCACCATATGAGAGCTCAAATTGTGGGCAGCACGAAAACGCATTCGCCATCCAGTTAATCCTGCCAAACTTGTGGCCCTCTTTGAATGTTGCCGTGCAATCCGCACATAGGAAGGTTTGACTGGAAGAGTCTGCACTCGCAATCGCGCAGCGGATGATTCCTTAAGCTCCACCTAAGAGTGGAATTGAGACTTTCCCTGGCAAAGAAGTATTAATTTCGTTTGAAAGTTGTATACAGAAAATTAAGTTCAGTTAATCAAGAATCAAATGCATTGCTAAAAGGATACATAGCGGAACATGAACCTACAAGCCCGTGTGTCACACGGAACTTACTGTTAAAAGCTCTATCGCTCTCATCAGCATCAACACTCTTGCATAAATGATCAATATCTACGCACACCTGATACGAGACGTGCCCTGTCACAATATGCATTCTCGGCGAAAACGAATAGCGATTCCTTGCGAGAGATGTGCAGTGTGTATGATGACTCATTATCTGTACTGGTCGCCGATGATTGAGCAGAGCAAGCGCAGCTTGAGCTCATAGTTAGTGTCTCCTGTCATAAGGTGAGGATCACTTCTTTTTTTGCCGCTTTAGGGTAGCGAGATCCAGATGCAATAACTTAGTCATCGCAACTGTCATCTGCTTGAATTAAAGCGCAGTCTATGGCAAAGGCGGAAGCGCTAATGACAGGTGATTTGGGGGGGATTCAAAATACCAAAATATGGGCATGTCTGGGGTATTCGTCAGCAGTCTTAGAGGCCCGCACATGAATTTTTATGTTATTTGTTTAGAGAAGCCGCGTATTGCCAGCATGATTTGCGTTGTGTCTGTGCAAGTAGTCAGCCAAGTCAAGACACGTTCGTTATTCATCAACAGCGTGGTAGTGACCAATAATCTTCTTTTGGTCCGATCGGCCTGCAATCCAGAGATTAAAAGCTGTCAGCTCCAAAGACACAGTTATCTATTTGATGAATAGCATGTTTAAGCACATACATTCGAGTAGAGTTTGCAATTTATTCGGCATAGATTATCGCGGGACGTTTTGCTCTGCACGAATGAAGAATCAAGAAGCCAGTTTATTCATGAAGGATCCCCTTCTAAGTCACATTCTATTCCGGGTACTTACATACATATTATAGTATTTCGTCAAAATAGGATTTTAAAAATTGGAGAGATCCTGTTGG